GGGTTTCCCAGGGCCCTTAGCCTTTGGTACACGCTAAGGGAAGCCCAGGCAGGGTACCGCGAACTGGCGCCCAATTCTACCAACAACTGCTAAAGCTGAACCCCCGGGACGTGTCCACTCACGGGGGTCAAGCGGGGAGTACTGCCAACAGAAGAATTCGAAAGAAAATCACCTAGAACAGGAAAGGGGGACCATATTAAAGGCAGACCCCACCAGGCAAAAACAAAAACAAAAGAAAAACCCCGCAAGAGAACAATGTACCCAGGCGGAACAGAGCCGGCCGCTGCTAATGGTGAATACTAGCTATGCAGTACCCCGCGCCCCTACCAGTGACGAAAACTACCACCTACCCAGAGACAAACCAGGGCAACAAAACCCCAGCCGACTCCAAGGGCGGCCCAGTACCGAGCAGTAAAGGACACAGTAGAGGTAGAACCCAAGGCGACTAGTGGAAGGTGGCCCCAAGCCCCAAGGGCAGTACTTACATGGCACCTAGGGAAGATAGCCCTAGGCACATGCAGCCCGAGTACCGTGGAATCTTACTCCTGGCTCACACCCCACCGGTAGAGACAGCCCACACCACAAGGCACAGAACTAAAACAAAAACCGGAGCCAGAGGCACTCGACCAGCCAGTAATACCATCAGCCAAGAACTGCCAGTTGGATCGCAGGCGTGGAGGGTCTGGGGCTCCCCCTTCCCCCCTCTCGGGGAGGGGGGGGGGGTTGCGCAGACGGTGGCACGGCGACGTGATGACGTCATGCTAGTTTGATACTTTTGTTAGGGGAGTTCTGTCCACTCGTTCGGCTTTCGGTAGCAATAATTTCACCATTTTGGGGCGCCTACCTTTCTGGGTGCCTGTCCCGGTTGATGGCAGACATAGAATGCTCCCAATCACACAGGGGTTTCTATAGGCCATTGCTCCTCGTGCCTCTCTGAGGGAACCAGGTTCTGGCTCGTGGTCCCCGGTAGGCAAGAACTCCTAGCACTTTGATGCCAGAAAGTTATACATATCCATTCAGCCTGGATAGCTCCGGGGAGCCAACGGGGCTCCCCCCAGAAAACCAGCATTGAATGTAATGAAACACCATTGTCTGGGCGAGTCCCGGAGGCTCCCCGGAGCAATCCAGGCTGAATGAATATGTATAACTTTCTGGCATCAGTCAATGTGCTTGGAGTTCTTACCTACCAGGGACCTTGCCTACCGGGCCTTGTGACCCGGGAGCACTCCAGAAACAGCTGAAGGCGGGACTGCAGCCACTGCAGAGCCTCCAGAGGGAGAGATAAGGAAGTCCCACACACGAGAGTCCCACACAAGACCCAGCCAGGTCCGAACCTGAGAGGAAACTAGATGGGACTTCTCCAGTTCACCAGGAACCTGAACCCGGCGAGCTGGGAAAGAACAAAATCCCTGGCGAGCAAACAAGCAGACTACCTGGAAGCCCTCACCAGCCAGTCGTCGAGGTAGGCCAGAACCCGAACCCCTAGCAGACGCAACCAGGCTACCACGACCCAGGTAAGGCGTGTGAACACGCAAGGTGTCAGATTAAAGCCGAATGGAAGACAACGAAAGTGGTAAGCCTGATGCCCCACATCAAAACCTAGCCAGTCCCTGAACCCTGGATGAATCGAAATGTGCCAGTACGTGTCCACAAGGTCCAGGGACACCATCCAAGCACCTGGCTCAAAGAGAAGACAGTCCTGGGACAGAGTAGTCATCCGAAACGAGGGGCAAGAGACCCAGGTGTTCAGACGGGACAAGTCCAGAATGAACAACAGGACCGCGCTGTCCCATTTCAGAACCGGAACATTCAGGAAACCCACCTGAGGGACGAGGTTGTTTCAACCACACCCAAGCAAACCTACTCCAAGATGAACCGACAAAGCGCAGGAGAAGAAGCCTGTTCCGAACCCCTGGAAGGAGGAGGAGCCACCCAACACCACCGCAGGCTGCAAGAAAGGACCCAAAATGCCCACGAATCATGGGACCAGGCATGAGCAAACAGCGCGAGCATCACCTCCCCCCCCCCCATCGCCCCATCAATGGGATGAACTGCGAAAAGGCTGACGCCCCTTACAAGAAACCAACTTGCAAGCAGAGCGATCAATGAGCCGACCAGTCGTCGTTGGTTCCGAAGGCTGTGCCGGCTTTAAAACTGGCACCACTGGCCTACCATGATGGAAGGACCCCTGAGCCCTGGCACGACCCTACCGGGAAGACCCCCCCTCTTCTACCGCGGGCTCCCCGGAGAACCAACAAATCTGACATGGGATGACAACTAGAAGAGGCTGCTTGCAGATACTGCACCACCACAGACTCTGCAAACAGCAAAGGCCAAAAAGTCATAGAAATCCTAAGTGTCAGGACCCACGCGGATTGCACGGACTGAGCGAGCACCGCCTGCCGGCACGCGAGACGAGAAGCAAAGAACAGAGACACTGTGTTCCGTAGGATCGGCGCAAAACAGCTTCAACAGCGCAACCGATGCCCGAACCACCGATATCAGCGCACCAGACTCAGGATTGGCCCCCAAGCGCCCAACATCCTCCTTAAGCCAGTCTGAAGACAGTTTGAGAAGGGAAAAGAAACGCAAGACCGTAGCCAAATGCCATGGGCGCACAAGTCCTCAGCTATCAGGGCAACCGAAAGGGAGGGAACCTGCACGTAAAGCTGAACAAGGCCGATATCCCAAGGAAGGGCAGGAGCGAACAAACACGCACCGAGGCACTCAAACTCCCCCCCCCCCCCTTCCCCCGGTAAACCAGTACAACTGTAAGGGCCTCTCACCACTCAAGCGTGCATGACCGACAGAATGTATGCCAAGCCCCCAACAAAAATATTGGACAGTCTGCTAACCAGAACTCTGGAACCTCATAACGAACCCAGTAAGGAACTGAAGAACCGATCTCGAAAGAGACAGGATCCATTATTGAGGTGTAATCCGGATCGCGCAGGAGGTAAGCTGCAAAGGCCTAATACAAAACTCATGAGGAGGGATGTGGGAGGCCAAAAACCCCTTGAAGGAAGGAACTGAAGAACCCAAGGGAACTCGAAACCGAACCCGGGGAGGAGCTGACACCATATCATACAGGGAGGGAGGATAAGAAAACCCCACCCCCCTGTAACAATAAGCCCCACTCAGAGGGTACCAACATCCAAGCAGGGTCAAACGAGGCCCATGCCCTCCAAGTCAGCCCCTCCACTGTACCTGAAAACCTCCACACCAGGACCTGGATGGAGCCAAGCCATCCGCCAAATCCTCCGCCTCCAAAGAAAAGGCAGAGTCCACCAGAAAAGCAGGAAAGGAGGGGGCCCACTGGTCAGACCCAGAAGCACTAGCTGGAGGAATTGGCTCAAATGTCTCCATCGCCACACCGGAAGGCGCATCACCTGAAACTGCCAGCCTCTCACCACCAACTCCGAAACTCTCTCTTGCCCCGACTCCGAAACCAGCAAACGCTTCGGAGCCGGGTGCAAAGGGGGGAGGAACAAGATAAACAACAGCAGGGAAAAGACAAGGGGGGCGAGGACGAAACCAAAGTCGAAGCGAATAACACCCCCAAGTCTGGGATCCCTTTAACCAAAACGGGGCAGTCTCGGGGCATCCAGTGAGCAACCAGCCTAGCGTGCTGCAGCAACACCGAAGCTGCCTGCACCCAATTAGCAAGATCAGTGGATTGGGTGAATTGGAGTACATGCAAGGAACACCACTCACAAGACTCTGGGTCGAAGGTGTCACCGATCCAACAGGCAACATGACGGAGGCAGAACTGGTGATTGTCACCCTGAAACAAGGGGACAGAGCAACCTTCAAACTCGCACAAAGCAAGGTTGGACCCAGGGGACACATCCATCGGACCGCCAAGCCCCAATGGGGATTTCCAGAGCCCTTAGACACTCTGCTAAGGTAAGCCCAGGCAAGGTACTGCTGACTGGTACCCCAAACTACCAAGCGAACTACTAATAGCTGAACCTGAGACGTGTACACTCACGGGGGACCTAGTGGAGGACCACCAAAAGTATAGAAGGGATAACACCACCAAGAGGCAGACCCTGCCCCACCAGGCAGAAAACAAAAATAAAAGAAAAACCCCACAAGAGTACAATGTGCCCAGGCGGAACAGAGCTGGCCATTATAATATGGTGAAAACTAGCTGCACAGTACCTTGCGCCCCTACCAGTGATGAAACTACCTCCTACCCAGAGGTAAACAGTGGTGCATGAAACAACCCACCTGACTCCAAAGGTGGGGCAATCACCAAGCAGCATAAGACCCCACGGAGGTAGGTCCCAAGCGACTTGTGGAAGGTAACCCCAAGCCACAAGGGCAGTACTTACAGGGAACCTAGGAAAGGCAACCCTAGGCGAATGCAGCCCGAATACTTGAGAAATTACACCTAGCTCTCACATCACCAGGACAGCACCACACCACAAGGCACAGCACTGGACAATGTCTGGAGCCAGAGTCACACGACTGCCAGGTCTTGCATCAACCTCAGAACTGGGGGTGGATAGCCAAGTAGTATAGATGTCCATAGACCATGCTGAAGTATAGCTAGTATGTGTGTACTAAGACCATGCTGAAGTATAACTAGGATATGTCCCTACACCATGCTGAAGTATAGCTAGTATACATGTCCCTAGACCATGCTGAAGTATAGCTAGTATGTGTGTACTAAGACCATGCTGAAGTATAACTAGGATATGTCCCTACACCATGCTGAAGTATAACTAGGATATGTCCCTACACCATGCTGAAGTATAGCTAGTATACATGTCCCTAGACCATGCTGTAGTAACTAGTATATGTTCCTAGACCATGCTAAAGCATAGCTAGTATATAAGTCACTAGACCATGCTGAAGAATAGCTAGTATATGTCTATAGACCATGCTGAAGTATAACTAGTATACATGTTCCCAAACCATCCTGAAGTATACCCAGTATACATGCCCCCAGATCATACAGAGGCATGGGAAGAGGGAAATACAAAGGTCATTACCTCACTGTCTTCTTCATCGCCATCTTCTCTCTTCCGTCTCCTCCTCTTCTCTCCGCTGGCCTCCTTCCTCCCAGTCACACTGACTGTAAACACAAGGTAAGATATTACACTCTCCACTGACCAGTCACACTGACTGTAGACACAAGGTAAGATATTACACTCTCCACTGACCAGTCACACTGACTGTAAACACTAACCATTGAAGTTGGCACAATAACCCTCAAACCACAGCTGAAGCTTGCTATATAACCTGGAAACACATCTCAAGCTGGCTAAGGAACCATGAGACACAGCAGAAGCTGGCTAAAGAACCATGAGACACAGCAGAAGCTGGCTAAATAACCATGAGACACAGCAGAAGCTGGCTAAGGAACCATGAGACACAGCTGAAGTTGGCTAAGGAACCATGAGACACAGCTGAAGTTGGCTAAGGAACCATGAGACACAGCTGAAGCTGGCTAAAGAACCATGAGACACAGCAGAAGCCGGCTAAAGAACCATGAGACACAGCTGAAGCTGGCTAAGGAACCATGAGACACAGCAGAAGCTGGCTAAAGAACCATGAGACACAGCAGAAGCCGGCTAAAGAACCATGAGACACAGCAGAAGCTGGCTAAGGAACCATGAGACACAGCAGAAGCTGGCTAAGGAACCATGAGACACAGCTGAAGCTGGTTAAATAACCCTGAGCCACAGCTGAAGCTGGCTAAATAACCCTGAGACACAGCTGAAACTGGCAAAATACCCTTGATACATGGTAGAAGCTGGCTAAGGAACCATGAAACACAGTTGAAGCTGGCTAAATAACCCTGAGTCACAGCTGAAGCTGGCTAAATAACCCTGAGTCACAGCTGAAGCTGGCGAAATAACCTAGAGACAAAGCTGAAGCTGGCTAAATAATCCTGAGACACAGCTGAAGCTGGCTAAATAACCCCGTGACACAGTTGAAGCTGGCTAAATAATCCTGAGACACAGCTGAAGCTGGCTAAATAACCCTGTGACACAGCTGAAGCTGGCTAAATAACCCTGAGACACAGCTGAAGCTGGCTAAAAAATCCTGACACACAGCTGAAGTTGGCTAAATAACCCGGAGACACAGCTGAAGCTGGCTAAATAACGCTGAGACACAGCTGAAGCTGGCTAAATAACCCTGAGACACAGCTGAAGCTGGTTAAATAACCCTGAGACACAGCTAAAGCTGGCTAAATAACCCTAAGACACAGCTGCAGCTGGTTAAATAACCCTGAGACACAGCTGAAGCTGGCTAAATAACTCTGAGATACAGCTGTAGCTCGTTAAATAACCCTGAGACACGGCTGAAGCTGGCTAAATAACCCAGACACACAGCTGAAGCTGGTTAAATAACCCTGAGACACATATGAAGCTGGCTAAATATCCCTGAGACACAGCTGAAGCTGGCTAAATAACCCTGAGACACAGCTGAAGCAGGCTATGAGAGCTTCAGGTGAGACATGCAAGGTAAGAGGCATTAACCTTTAGACAGAGGTTATCGTCAATTGTTGATTTACAGGGAAATGCAGTTATCATCATGTAAAGATTTAAAAAATTATTGTTTGGGTTTTACATATATGATGCAAATATAAATATAAAAGCTCTCTGTGGATATAAAACCAGCGTTGAATGTAATGAAACGCCATTTTCTGGGTGAGCCCAGGAGGCTCCCTGGAGCTTTCGGGATAATGTGTGATATGTTAGACCAAGACATTAGCTATGGAGTTCTACCTACCAGAGAACCGAGTCAGAACCTGGCCACTTCAAGGAGGCTTCAGGGAGCAATGGCGCTGGAACCCCCCCCCCCCTGTGGTTGGGGATTTTCCTTATTTGCCATCGACCAGGGTTAGGCACCCAGAAAGTTACGCATAACAAAACAAACCTACCATGGTAAGAAACTAACAACTAAAAACCGAAAAGGAAGGCAGGACGCCCTCCAATTCCAAGGAAACAAGCAAAGTCACACTCTATTGCTGTGCAGCTCATCCACGCAGCCCTCCCCTCCCCTTCTAGGGAGGAGAAGGTGGGGAGGCCCAGATTTTCCAGTGCCAACTACTCAGGCCTTCAGCTCGAAAGTTAAGTATCAAAACAACCGACCGGAGGGAGGGAGAATTGCCAGGGAGTCTTCGGGACTCACCCAGAAAATGGAGTTTCATTACATTCAATGCTGGTTTTCTGCAGGTAGCCCCTACAGCTCCCTGGAGCTGCATAAACAAAGATAAGGTAAAGAGAGACTTACCTGTGAGGAGGCCTCAACAAACTCTTCAATACGAAGTCGAGACAACTGACTGCAACCTGTGACCCAAAGCAACACAGGAATGCCCATGAGTAGGAACGTTCAGAAAATAATGGGCAGCCAGGACCCTGTTCAACTTCCGCAATCCCCGAGCCCGAAAATTAGCCCAAGACATGTTGCCAAACACGGCAGCCAAAGCAGCAAACTTCCTAACATCATGGGCACGAGGATAGACTGCAGGCTAGCTAGACTTGATAACCCTGCGGACGACCTGGGGATCCAAGCCCTGGAACAGGGAATGAGGGAGACCGGATCAACCCAAAGCGCATTCCCGGGCACGCAGATAGCGCGTACATAACGGCAGAGAGCCACAACTGGACACAACACATGATGCACCCCGCCTAATCAACCAAGCATCAATGACCCCAAAGACCCCACCAGAAAGCAGCGTCTCATTCTTCGCCAGAAAAGAAGGAGAGGGCAGCAAATGAACAAACCTACCACCAGGACCGAAAGAGCAGAAATCCCTGCATCGAAGGAGAGCATGAAGCTTCCCAACCCGACCCCCAGAGGCCAATGCCAACAAAAAGAGCCTTGGAAAAACAATCTTTAACTGAAGGGGTCACCACAAACCAAGGAGAGGAAAGAGAGGAGAGCACCCTGTCCAAGGACCAGGACGGCTCAGGCAGTGCATGAGCAGGCTGGAGGTGAAACAAAGCATGAGAAAGCTTACAGAGTAGGGTAGAGGAATCGTCCACCCCGAATGCAAGTTGCAGCGGCTCTGCCAGCGCCACATGATACGGGGCGGCAGTATTAGGCATCAGATGACAGTCCTGAAAAAACCTAAACACAAAGGACAAAACAACCTGATCCGAGATAGAAGACAACCTACGAAGAGAGAGAGAATGGCGGAATGAACGCCAAGAAACTTCATATTGTAATTACCTAAGTGAAAGCTGGTGACGCAGCACCAACACAAGATCCCCAGAGGAACGAACCCAACGAAAGCAAGAGGCGGAAGGGGAGTCTCCGAAGGAACCAAACAGACGCCGAAGCCAAACCCGACCCTGCAGGCCCATGACTGCAAAGAGCAGACGGGAACCCCAGAAGGATTGGCGGATCGACCACGTCCAACACACCCACAAAGATGACATGACGAAGCGCCGGGGAAGAAGCCTACCCCTGCCAGCTCTGAACCCCCCCAAAGGGGGAGAAGCCATCCACCGACGCCACCAGAGGCCGGAAGACAACCAAAAGCGCCCACCAACAGCGGGATCATGCGAGAGTCAACAGAGCAAGCTGCTCCCCCAGCGCCCCGTCAACAGAGAAGGGAACAGAGCCCCTTCCGAAAGAAAAGTACACACACACATACACATTCATATATACATACACACAAGGTATGTTACACACACGTGTGTATACACATGTGCACAAACACACAGCATACACACACATACACTTTAAAAGAAAAGTACAAGTCGCCAACCAGTGGGCAGAGAGCACTACGCCGGCCAGGCAAAGAAGGCACAAAACTGCATCAAAAGGCCCCCTCGACAACTAAACCTCAAAGTCCCAGCACGACCACAACATGTGCCAAGACCCAAAAAGATCAGTCTGCAAGCCAGGAAGACCCCGGAACTCCAGACAGCAGAACTGGGTCACACAAGGAAACAAAGCCCCCTGAACCCACAAAGGGGGCCCAAGAGGAAGAAACCTCCGGAACGAAACCAAAGAACCCCAAGGGAACCCGGAATCGAACCTGGGGGAGCCCAAACCACCACATTTGTCGGCGGAGAATACCACATAAAGGCAAAGCACAGCCCCCAGACAGAACTCCCGGGGAAACGGTCATAACAGACCGAAAACCGAGGGACAAGGTGTGGGAGCAAGCATAACAGCCAGGGACAGAGCCAAAACCCAAGGGCCCAGACCCAAAACAGACAAATCGGAAAACCCAGTGTAAAATCAACACCCAAACGTTCCCAGAGGAACAGGAAACGGTCAGAAAACAACAGAAAAGCAAAGAAACGACAACAGGAGAATAAAACCCCTGAAAAAAGGTGAAAACTCACCCAAGAAGCTCGCTCGCACACCCAGTCGCATGTAAACAAACCACAACGCCGCCCTGGTGGCCATGCCGGGAAACCGGCAGACGAAAATGGCCACCAGACAGAAGGCTGTGACTGACACTAAAGATACGGAAACACGCCAGCAAAAGTGGGAAGCAAGCAGACTGGATGGGCGAAAAACTCCACCCAAAAGCAGAAAACCCAGGCAGGGGCAAACTGCCCCAGAACTGCTAGCAGGCTTTCCCCCCAGCCCCAGGAACCAGCAACAGAGGCCCCGGGGCAGAGCCGTCCTCCAAGCCCTCCGCCCTTAATGAAAAGCAAAAGTCCATGGGAAAGGCAGCAAGAAAAGGCTGCTGGTAAGACCCAGAAGCCTTTGCAGGAGGAACAGGCTCGAAAACCTCCGTCTCCCAACCCAAACGGGGCAGCCCCCGAAAACCACCCGAGTCTCGACCACAACTAAACCCCATCCCGACCCTGAAACCCGCAGACGGTCCGGAGCCAGGAACAGGGCGGGAAAGAGGCGAACAGCACCTAACCAAAACGGGGCGGCCTCGGGGCATCCGAGTGGGAGACCAACCTAGCATGTTGCAGCAACCTAACCTAGCTTGCAACACAGATGCCACCTGTACTCTGAACAGTAATAGCATCAGGAGAGTACTGGAGAGCAAGCAGAGAATCTCTCGCAAGACTCCGGGTCAAGGTGTCAGTGACCCAACAGGCAGCATGACGGAGGTAAAAGTGGCGACTGTCACCCGGAGACAAGGGC